AGAAGAAGAAGAAGAAACTACAGAATGATCAGCATCAAAACTCAATTACTCAAGAGGGAAAGAACCCTAACTTTCTTGAATTGGAGTTTCAAGATTTTGCAGCAAAAACTTAATCAACTTAAAGATATACAGAAATTGGGTAAAAGCACAAGAAAGGGGTTATAAAGCAAAGCAAGATCTAACACCCCATACAGAAAAACAGCAAGAAAATCTTACTTTGTCATTTGGTTCCCACAGAATCCCACCCACTGAGAAATGAAATCAACTTTCCTATGCAAAATTGCTAAAGTCCCAATTTAGATTGATGTGAATCTTGAACTTGGTGAGAGTCATCAGTCGTCCACCAACCAAAACTGAATGAACAACTCGTTTTTATTCCTGTCAAAGCCCATTAACGATGATGAAGAATGTGAGGTTTCTTGAAAGAGACAAATAAGCAGCTTTTTTGGAATGGTATTTTAACAAAGGGATGTGACTCTGAATAATTGAAAGTCCATGATTAGTTGATTACAAATCATTTATATCAAATACAAATATTATTCAACAACTAGTCAAAATTTATTTATAATAAACTTATCCTATAAATTATACTCTTAAGTAGGTAATAATTACCTCGTAAACTATACTCCCTCACAAATCTTTTACGAAGTTTAAGCAACTCTTTTTTAGTAATAGATTGCTAAGGAATTTAAGAAAGAGGACTTTTGTATTGTTGAAGACTAGAAAAATTTGTTTGATTCTTACTTAATTATTTTATAAATGGGTGCTGCTCTACTTATTTAGGAGCTAATATGTAATAATAGTTATTAGACAAGTTCCTATATATTTTATAAATAAGCCATTCTAACTCTACATAACTAGAAGATTTCAAGGACCTTTCATGCAAATTCGTGAAATTCTATAATCTTTCATGAGAAATCTCCACATATCTCTAGAACCTTTCACTATAGACTGACCTTCTTCCTATGTAAGCCTTCCATATGAATAACTTTATGCCAAATAACACCTAATTGACATGATGATATGCCGGATCATGACACTCCATCCACTTTTGCGACCGAATGGATTCACAAAATAACAATATCTTCTTCATTTGAAATTGTGATTTCTTTTCGCTCAAAATCGATGCAATGACTAGTTATGCTTCCATCAATTTTAGATTTATGTACAAGTTTAGGGGTGTTCACGGGTTGATTTGGAGCGGTTATTGGTCAAAACCAAAATAAAAACCAAACCAACTTAATCTTTTTTAAAATTATCAAAACCAAACCAAACCGAATCTAATATATCGATTTCAGTTCGGTTATGCAGTTATTAATCATAGACAAAAATAAAAGAAATAATTCATTCAAAACGTGAAAAAAGTGACAACAATCCATTCAAAACGAAAAATAGTTAGAATGATTGGCATTACATAACTTTCAATCATTGAATTTACTATGAATAAATCTTCACAATTCATTATTTTGGCTTAGAAGGAAGAGACATTGACATTTCAATCTGATAAAGAATTGTCATAGACACTCATATACATAAACCAATAAGATAAATATTCTCACCTTGAGCATTTTTGCTTCCATAAGTAAATTATAAATAAATTTTGATGAAAGCACATATAAGAAAATTGTTTTTTAAAATAATATATTATGTATGTATAATAATAAAATATATGTATATAATTTGTCGGTTTCAGTTCGATTTTTTTCGAACTAAACCACATCAATCCAAATACTATAGATTTTTACAATTACGTTCTATTACTTCTTAATTTGATCTAATTTACTTCAATCTATCTTTTTACAGATCCCTACAATGTTGAATGAGATGGTTGTTCCCTCTTATGGGGGGAATGGGTGCATTACGACCCAAAATTTAGAGGTGTGACCAGGGTCGACTCAACAAGATTGAGGGCCTAAAGCCAAACCTTAAAGAGGGGGCCTAATTATTTTTTTCAAAAAAAATAAATAATCATGTATATATCTATTTAAAATCTATTTTTCTTGCCTTTTTAGATGTGAAATCATTAATTACTATTTTCTAATCGATTTATTTTAGTAATTCCTTTTCAATTGATAATATAGCTAATGCATTCAATCTCACATAAGATTTTATCAATTTTAGTTTCGACAAACTTCTTTTGGCCGAAGCAATAGTTACAGGAATTGTTAACATTATTCTATAAGCAATATACGCATTAGGAAAAGAATCAAGTCTTTTTATTTGATTGAGTATTTTCATTAAATCATAATCTTCTACTTGTATTATTTCTCTTAATAATAACTAAAACGAGAATATATATATACTTACTAACTAAGAATATTAACAATAACAAAAGTTCACGAAAAATTATAAAATAAAATTAGAATAATAAAACCTGGCTCACGAAATCGATAAGTTGATATAATAATGTTGAAATAGTGTTGCATTTTTTCAATATAATGATTGCTTGTTGCACTTCTTAAGATTTTGAAGAAGACACTCAAAAGCAAATTTTGTTCTTTTTTAACTTGTAAGCAACAATAAATCATTTTTTTTAGAAGAGAGTTCAATATTGAAAATAAAAATAATAAAATGGAGAATAAAAAAGATGAGTATAAGGTAAATAATAATATAAGGTCAAATTTTTAGGAGATAAATAAGGAAACACAATTTCCCACTTAAAGAAATTATTTTCAAAAAATGTTTCATTCCCTTAGAAAAGTGGGGGAAACTAACAACTATTTTGTTTTTTTTCTATACTTCTTAGTTCTTACATGTTTTTTTAAATTTTAAAATACATATAATTTTAAGTAATATGTATAAGTATATTTATTTAAATTGGGGGCCCCAAAAATATGAGGCTCCAAGCGATGACTTTAGTGGCCTAGTGGTTAAGACAGCCCTGGGTGTGACATCCACCTTTAGGACCATCTAGTTCCTCGTATTCATGAATTCATGTAACATATAATAGTGCACCAGATACCTCAACCAGAATTGAACACATGAGTCACACGATCCGCTTTTTCCATGATCTCTTTTGTCTGCTTAGCCGAACTATTTGAACTCAAGTCATTCGCTTCCTTAAGTCATATCCATACTAAAAGAGCTAAATCAGGTGGTGACTAGATTCATTCCGTAGCATGGGATTTTGTAGCAGCAAAAATGTTGACCCTACTATCCGCTTTTCAGTCAAAAATTCAGATTGCGACATACCGCCTAGACTAGATATATTATCCTCCATCTCAACAATCAAGTGGGGTGGTTGGGGATTGCAAGGGTCCATAATAACTGGTCAATAAAAAAGTCTCTATCAATACGTGAGCAATGAAATACAATTGTTCGTTAAAGTAGTGGATATTGGCCATCTGGTGATAATACAGTACTATGATACCAAGAAACCCAAGTCAACCATTGTTTCAACCAATTAAGGATAACAGTCAGCTCAAAGATTTCTCGCTCTCCATCGAATACCAAATCTTTTGGAAAGATTTGTATATGCTTAGGCTTTACAGCCTCACAAAGAAAATTATTATTTTCGCTTTCAACTAAGGATTGAAGGGATAACCCCTTCAAATCCAAAATTCAAGAGGTAATGGATGTAGCATTGGTATTGGATGTATATATCGTTAGGTTGTGTCACGTCAAATCTGCTCCCTTTTTTTCTGTTGCAGAAAAGAGATCCCCTCCCCTCGTTTTAAAAAAATGATGAATATAAAGTTCGGGAGGATGCAAGTACTATGAATTCTCGGACACCCAATCAGGTTGCTTTCCAAGGTCTCGCTGGTGTTGCCTGCATGTCGTGATATGCCTTGAGATGGAAATCTCAAGTCCCCCTTCCAGTGGGGAACCCACTCCTTGATTGTCGCTCTGATGCGTTTGACTCGTCCTCTAGGTACATTTGGAAGGTGGAGTTCAGTAACCCAGTCCAGTGACCGAGGAGAGGTTGAGAAGAATACAATGATTGGAATGGTCTGAAAGTCGCTATAGAAGACTGAATGCGTCTTGGTTAACCTAGTCCATTATTCAGATATATGTGTGCCTGTATTATTTATAATAAGAGAAAACCTCACTCCAAGTAGTGAAATGGAGTAACAAATGGGAATTCGTTCGTTAGGAGAGAAGGCAAGATTTTCCCTTTGATCCTTTTAAGAAGGAGCAGCATACCTGACTATACCTTTCATCAAGAGAATACCAGTCGTCCAGCTTAGAAACTGTAGCTGTCGGAAAAGGGGAACTTTAATTAAGAAAGAAGAATAATTGCAGATTTGTGATCAATAGACTACGAAGAAGAAGAAATAAAATTATGTATGATGAACTTGAGCCGAGTCACAAAAAAAGTTATGATGAGCTTGAAAAGTTCTATCTGGCTTTATATCTGTTAATGGTAAGGCTCTTTCCCTGAGGGTTGGACTGCTCCGAAGCACTTGGAAGCAGTTTTCTTACTAATTTCACAGCCGGTCATTTAGGGGTTCGACAGAACCCAATAACTTTGGCTTAGATCCTGTATTTGTGATAAAAATTATAGTTAAAAGATGTTGATATAATTTATCTAGAACTCAATCAGTTACCTTCTCTAAATTTCAGAACGGAAAATCTAGCTCCGTCTGAGTGTTTGTAAATTTCAGAACCCATCAAATTCTAGCTCCGTCTGGTGAGTCACAAGAACAATTTTTGAATTCAGCACATCACATGAGTAGTTGAATCCATGGACAATAAGTTAATACAGAGTAGGTTAATACAATCAAATAGGATCAGATGAGCAATTGGAATCGGAGGTCAGATGAAAAGTTGTATTGGTGTTTGATCAATCGTGACTTTCGCTATCCACATCCACAGCACCTTCATATGTCAAATAATAAAACAACACATTTAGCAGGAATATAGACTATAGTTAATATGTAAACACAACACAAAATTAACATGAGAATAATTTAAAACTTTTGTGATCATTGGGCAAAACTGGAGAAACATAATTTTTTAGTAACTAAATATTTATAGTACCAAGTAAGAAATATCTACCATGTCCCAAAGAGCAGAGGAGAGCATAATATTAATACCTGCCAACAAAAACAAACTAAAAACTCTCAGGTAAAAAATTGACCACAAACTATTAAAAAAAATTCAACCATCACAGCTTTTTCTTTGAATAACTGGCCAGAATTCGATCAGCTTCCTTCTTAGTTTTTCCACTAGAAATACTTCGTGACACTTTGTTTACATAACGCATTGCACGAATTCGAGCCCTTCCATGGTTAAGTTTTCGTCCAGCCTCTTTGTGTTTTCTACCAGCCATTCTTTGAGCATTATGCGCAGCAATCCTAGCCGATCTTAGTTCCTCCTTTTCGACGAAAGCATAACGTTCAGCAGCAGCAGCACGCTCTCTTGCCTCTGCCTCTGCTCTTGCCTTAAGATCGAGATCTGATATCGTAATCTTTCGAGTACTATCAAATAACTTCCTGTTTTTCTCATCCTTGAGAAAATCGTAAGAAGTCTTGAGCTTTCGAAAATTCTCATGAGCATTCGGATCATCCGGCCTCTTGTCTGGATGCAACTCTAATGCTTTTTTTCGATAGGCTTTCGATATTTCCTGCTGAGAAAGCTTGGCACCTTGTTCACCGGATGGTAAATCCAATACAGCATAATGATCAACTTCAGTAATATCCATGTTTTTTATAAAGAACCCTAAAATATGTATCTAAACTTAATTTCTATGTGATTAAACAGAGCAACGTACCCTATTTATAGACTTGAATCCTAATACTGTATGGTTAATTAAGAGATTTTTTGTCAAATTTATTAAAATTAGAATCCTGAAGTAGTTAGGTTAGGGAACTAATTAGACTTTAATGTATTGATTTTTCTGTCTTCCTTGCTTAGCAAGCAATTACGTATCAGAGTTTAAGTAGGACAACTATCAAATTGGATTAGTAAAGCCAATCCCATCTAAAAAGGAAATATTGATATTTTTAATTTGGATCTCTTAATTAAGAAGTTGGTAATTTTTAATGATGTAAAATTTTATGTATTAAAATAAGGATATTTTGGGAAGAATGAGATCAATTTTTTCTTTAAGATACTAAAACATCACTTATTTTGAAACAAAATGATAAAAACCTAATTATTGAGTTCTCAGTTAATTTTATTATTATTATTTTCTTGTTCTTTAATTTGTTTTTGTTTTGCTTGTTATTCTTCATTAATCAAATTATTAATATGGTATTTGTCTTAAATATGAATATTTTAGATATATTACGGAATATGGGGTATACTTAAATAATTAAATTTATATTTTCTATAATTGATTATATCATCTAATTTTAGCAGTTCCATAAAAAGAATTTATCTCTCGTAATTTTTCATTAATTGAATGGGAAAAGGCATAGTTCCTCCTAACTTGTATCGAAAAGTCAGTTACACGCTTAAACTATCATAACGACCTATTACACACCTCTGCTATTTAAAAGTGAATTTATTTACCCCTAAAGCTGACATGACAAGATAATAATAATTTTAAAAAAATCATGCGCGTCAGATAATTATTAAAGTAAAAATAAAAATAAAAATAAAACTCAAAATATTTCTTAAGCCCCACCCCGATATCTCTTCTTCTTCACACCCCACCCTCCTCATCTTCTTCACACTCCATTAAGCTTAAAATAAACCAATAACAAGAAACAACCAAGAAATAAATTACTTCAAAAAGGAGTAAAATTTTGGGAGGTTTCAATCGGTGGGGCTTCGACGGACGTTTTTGAGTATTGAGTGATCGATTGAAAATGGGAAGAAAATTATTTTTCTATTATCTCTATTTTTTAAGAAATCTCTAGGAAGAACAAGGAAAAATAACAAAGAATATATGTCCAAATCTGAAAAATATTTACAACTACAAGCCGCAACAAATAACAATGAAAGTTTAGTTTCAATGACCAATCAATGGAAGAAACTGAAGCAACCTTCTTGTGAGTACATTTTGAAATGGAAGAATTCTTCCACTCCACGAATCAACCCCAGATTACGGGCAATTTCCTTGGTGGCCATTGCTAAAAGTTTCTTTCTTTACTTAGGTATATATATTCAAATAGCTAATTAAATTCATATTTTATGTAACTAATTGAAATCATCTTGTTTTATGCTAGCAGTTATCTTTCATAGTTTTTGAATTTTTTTAGAAATTGATTTTGCTAATCAAATTTTAATTTGCACCATCCATATCCAAAGTTGAGTGACTATGATAGGCCGCTTATCTAAGATTAAGTGATCATTCATATGGTTTTAGTCTCTTCTTTGATGACATAGTGTATACACACACATTTATCTCTATATTTTTATTTTTGCAATTTGGTTTAATTTGAGCATGAAAGTTCTTAATTGATTAATATTTTACCTCATACAACAAAGTAGATTTAACTATCAGTATTATGTATAGTTACTTACCTTTAAGGTTAGTGGTACTTATTTATCACATAAGACTCTGGAGACACGATTTTCATCAATACGACGTGTGACTTCATCGTCAATCACTTCATTTTCTTAGATCAAACTCAAGATATTTAAAACTTTTTTTTTCTCTTTGGAATAATTTGTGAATTATTAAGTTTCGCCTTATGTGTGTATCACTGAATTTGTAATATTATGTTATTGTCCAGCTCAATAACTTAAATCCTTTAGACTCTAGAATTTGTCTCCACCCATCCAACTATGAGTCCCATCAACTAGTATTATGTCACTGACAAGCAACATACATCATGATCTTTCATATTGAACATGTTGTGTCAATTCATCCACAAGACAAATAGAAATGGGTTAAACACTGATCACTGGTGTAATCTCATCTCGATTGAAAAGTGTTTTTAGTCTTCACCCACCTGTCCACAATTCTTATTTGAGTTTGGACTCCATCATACATTTCTTTCATCATCCTAGCGTACGCCTCATCTAGCCTTTACGCATCTTCATAAAATTTCCGTGGGATTTTGTTCTAGGTACGTCATTTCTAGGTTAATGAACACTATAGGTAAGTCATCTTTTTCCTTTCTATATTTTCTCGTTAGTCTCCTCACAAGATAATAACTTTTGTATTAATATCGTGGCATGAATCTGAATTGATACTAAAAATGGATCGATACCCTTTCTCACCCACATTTTCATCACCTTTTCTCAAAAACATTATTATATATAATCTAATATAAACCGTACTGATTGTGAATAATATTACCAAAGTTCCGATCAATTAACTTCTCAATCAAAATGTTCTATAAAGAAACTTCCAAAAATTACATTATTACTTTAAAACATTCTATTACGAATTAAAAACGAAAAAACAAAAAAAAGCGCGAAAAGGCACTCTGTTATTTTCGGTACGGACGACAATTTTCCGTTAACACATTCTCCGCGAATTCCAAAAATATCCCCACTGTCCCGCTCTTAACAAGCTGGTAAATCACGTAATTATCTCCAACTTTGAGGGGCAAATTCTGTTCCCTCAGTCCTCACACCCTTCTTCTCTTCTTCCATTCCTCTGTTTCCCATACAGCAGGAAAATGTCAGTACGAAATCGAAATTTCTATATAGTACTAAATGATTTCACAAATAGGATTACTGTGAGCTGCAAAAAATGAACTGTCAAATGCAAACGATGAATGTGGATAAACACTTTTCCGGCGCCGGCGAGGAAGTTTCGGCGGGAAATGATGTGGCGGTTGGAAATTTTCCGGTTGGGTACGGAGGTGGGGTGGGTAGTGTTAAGGTCACGATGCCTCATTACACAGTTTGTAGTGCTTCTGATGTCGTTGCTCTGCAAAATCGAGAGGCTAAGTTTGATCAACTCACTATATCGTTTCGTGGCAAAATTTATGTTTTTGATGGTGTTACTACTCATAAGGTGAGCACTTTTTAATTGTTTTAATTGTGTAATTTGTGAAGTGTATGTATAAGTTGAGGATCAGTATAAAAATGCTTTAAGATTTTTTTTTTTTTTTTTGATAAACCATGGTGTCCGGGCTAGCTTTTGCACGCCACAACTAATTCCAAGCTGTCAACCAAGCTATGAAAGATGAGGAAGAAATCACTAGTGTTTTTGTCACTGTTGAGATTTGAACGTTACAACTCATGATTCTCAATCCAATAGTAATAAGAGTTGTATGTACCTTAAGTTTATATATGACACCAACTAATTTGTAATTGAGGTGCAGTTGGATTGATATTGATTCTTTTATTCCCGGTAATGTTTGAGGATTTTTTTCTATACTTCTTCTTTTTTCCATAGAGATTGTGCTAGTGTTAATGTGTTTGGCGTGCTTAAATGTGTTGAAACCGGTTTAATTTTGATCATTCAGATTGAAGAGCCAACACATGAGATTAATGATCAGTGTTTATGGCGTATCCTTAAAGTTTGTAGCTTGATTGTCTCGAGGTTCAGGGCTTTTCTTTTCTTTTATGCAATAAAGGAATTATCTTTAGGGGTTTAGTGAGCAGGATGGATATTGATGATTCATATAGGCGACTTCAGTTAGTTTGGATTATGTTGTAGTGGTAGTTGTTGGGCGGGGTTGAGAGAGGGGCGGTATTGGATGAACAAGAAACTTCTTGATGAGCCTGCAATAGTTATTTAACTAATTATGTCTCTATTGGCTTGTTTCTTAGCTTTACTCTTTAAATGGGAATGGAAAACTGACTATTGCATTTGGCTGGATATTTCTTTAATCTGATTGTGAAGCATTAGGCTAACGAGTAACGATGGTTCATTGTCATAGGTCCATTCGCTTTTTCAACTTTTGGGTGGATATGAGTATTGTCCAGGCACACAAGCTTTAGGTTTGTCGAGTGCAAACCAGAAGGTATCCTTTTCTATGCAAGTTTCTTCTTTTGGTTTGCATCTGCATCCTTGTAATATTTGGTGATTTTTTGCCTTAGGACTATGTGGACCATCCAGTGCACTGTGCAGATCCAAAAAGACTTGAATCCCTCATTAGATTTTATGAAAAGAGGAAAAAGAGATGCTATGAAAAGAAAATCAGATATGGTATCCGCCAAGAAGTTGCGTTCAGGTAAATTGGCTGATCTACTACTGCCTAAATGGAACTTCTATCTCCTCTTTTTTTGTTTCAGTAAGAGTAGAATTCTAGCACTCCAATGAACTTATGCACAAGATTGCTCTATGAAATTAATCCCTATCAGGACTGATCAATTTTTTGGCCCGGACACCACTGTCATTAAAAAAAAAAGGCTGATCAAACTTTGTCAACAAAACCAAAAGTTTTTAGAATATATTGCAATCACATTTACAATTCAAAGCTTTGCATATCAGGTTTACTTGACTTGAACTGGATAAGTTCGTTCTGTTCACCTCCATGACTTGATGAAACCATTATCACTAAATTAGTCTCCATGAAACTATTATTACTAATTACGTCTCCTTTTTTCTTATAACATATGTGGGCTTGTGGTTATCGTCCTCATTTCTCATATTTTCTTATTGGGAAACCATGATTCTGTTTTTTGCTCCTAATTTGGACGGAAAAATAACTCCTGCTGTATTTCTCATTCAGTTTCCTGTAACATACAACTATTTGATTATTACCCGAATCTGATGTTTGGAAACTTCTTCATTCCAGAATTTTCTCTCTTATGATTTTAAGTTAGGAAATAAAGTAATCAAGAAGATAGTTTGCTTGATTCAATTAAGTGGGGATGTCCATCTCGAGCCTTAAAGATTTGAAGTGGCTATTTAATATGCTGGGAAAAACTCACTGATTTACTTCTGTAGGTAAAAGAAGTGTGTTGATTGTGTAGATGTACTATCTTTTATAATAGTCATATGGCAGCCTGCAACAACGCTGGATTCGTTAAAAAGAATTGCTTTAGAAAGTTGACTCTGACAAGTAACACTACTGATGAATTTGACATTTCATTCATTACATGTGTTTTAGTATAAAAATAATGTGCAAGAATTTCATTGTTCTAAGAAATGAAATGCTGCAATACGATGCAAAACATTACCTAAATGACAATAGCTCTTGCACGCGCGCACACACATATCTGCCACCTTCCACAGTTTCTTGTTCTTGTTTTAGCAGGTTGTGGAATGTCAACAAAAATATGCATGGCAGGTTTAACAGCTGTTCTTCTATTCCAGTTTTTGATTTCTTCTGCTTATTATTCACATTTATAAATAATCAGAATGAAGCGTAAGAATGGCCTATTTGCTCGAAAAGGTTCTACTGGACCAAAACAGGACGACATCCCTTCAGAAGAAACTCGGTATGTTTTTGAATATGAGAAATAGTTCTGCTTTTTTTCTTGAGAATAATATCTTCTAAAAAATTAGTTGATGTGTATGGTTTGGTTTGTATTCAAAACTACTTTTGTATGCAAGAAATATTTTGTTGATGTTGGATGCCTAAGCAAATGTTAATTCTAACTCTCTATCTTGTTTCCTAGATGCATCCATTGCGGAACTAGTTCAAAGGCCACCCCTATGATGAGGCGTGGTCCTGATGGCCAAAGGAATCTTTGCAATGCATGTGGGCTCACTTGGGCAAATAAGGTTGGCATGTACATCATCAAAACACTCAAAGGATTACTCCTTCATTTAGATGTTCTTTTCTTTTTAATATATTTTTACCTTTATACATCTGAACAACCATATATCATGTTAACTTACTTGCATTTTGGTCTATTTGGAAAGAATGGTGTCCATATATTGTAGGACTAGGACCTACAAAGTGCTCGTCTTCCAATACCAAGTCTGAAAGCCTAATCAATCAAATACTGCAATGCATGCATATGTAAATTATCGTTACAAATTACCATAGAATGTTTGCTATGCCCGCCTTTCCTATGTTTGATACATGGCTCCTCTAGCATTCTTTGTAACAATTTCTTGTTAGGCAGAAAAAAGTTGCAAACTATTGATTCCTTACTTCTTGCTATATCAATCTGCAGGGGATAATGAGGACTCTCTATAAGGCATCCTATGACAATACTGAGCTCGAACTAGAGGTAATTGGTTTATTTTATTGCTGAATAGCAATCCTATGTTGGTGTAAGAATTGAATGTTTCTAAAGCTGTTTTGCACGGCCTACTTCTTAATCCATGTAGGATGAAGATTGCAACAACACCGACTATGGACCTCCTCCATGTTCCGTCTCTTATCAAGTTTCTTCATCAGTCTGCCAGTGATTCCTCGACTAAGACTTTGATGCCTTAGAAAGAAAGCCATACTATATCAACATATCTTCTTCTCATCCAACTGAAAGATTATATATACATACTACAGGTACATTTCATCACTAAAACTTTCTCAACAACTTGATGACACGATTGAGAACTATCACAAATTTTGTTCTTTTCTTTTGAAGTTTATATTGACAGATTAACAACTTAGCTAAAATTTGTTGGTTAAAGCAAAGGATCTCTCTCATGCACTTGTATTTACCGGTGTTACTTGAAGTTCAATAGGAATTTGCAGTTTCTCGCATCAAGACCTGATATATTTAGCAGTCTTTTTAATTTATATTGGATCTTGTTACCTATCTAGCATTTAGATTAAGCTTCTTTACTGATGTATATCGAATTTTGTCTCTTTGGATAATCATAATCTTATTCTGAAGAATGATCATATGATCTATACTTCCACATGTGATGACTGATGTATATTTTATTTTTCATATTCCCTCCGAGGAGAGCCTTGGAACAACAGTAAAATTGTCTCCGTGTGGCATATAGGTGATAGGTCATTAGTCCATTTGATGCTTGCATTAGGTTGACTACATCACGCCCCTATGGGTGCAGCTCTTCCTCGAACCTCGCATGAAAATGGGATGATTCTTATTTGTTTTTCTGTTTCAGCTTAGAAATGCTAGACAATGTATTTAATCAAAATCAATATGTTTAGGCATATTAGTAGAATTAAGTTGGATGAAGACAGCAGGGAGATACTGGAAATGGTACAGTATGTTTATTTTATTTTCAACAATATGGGGTTTGCATTCTCTTTGGCCATTATACCCTTTAGAAAAATGTAGAGAAGTAAAAAACACATTATCATTATATGCAAACACAACAAATTAATTAATCAGAGTTATTTTAAGTGAAAGATCATTATTTATGACATGTTTCATTAATCAATTAGTTTGGTATGAACATGTTAAGTTTATTTTTATCTTTCTACTTTTTTTTACGTGTAGTTCAGTTGGAAAACTGCTCACATCTTCGTTCTAGTGATAGAGGTGGAGGTTTAAATTCGTGTATATATCCTTTTCAAATCCCCACCCGCCTAACAGTGAAAAAAAACTATTTACCAGTACATCCACACACAAAAACACACGTGACCTTTAATTATCATTTAAGTAGTCAATTATTATAGTTTAGCATAGACTTGGATAACATAGAGTATTATATTTTTCAGAAAAAAATAATCATGAGACCGACCACTTTCCCCATACCTAATTTAATCAAGTAGCAACTTATGCTTCCAAATCTAATCCAAGATATTCTCCACGTATAATCCTATAATATATTATCCACTAAAATATAATCCAAGATTTTCTACGGATATAATCCTAAATGGTGGTATTAAGGACATGACACAATTACATCTTATTATTAATATTATTACAGATATAAAGATATGGAAAATAAGTAGTTGGGTCGAATATTAAAATGTAATAACATTGTCTAATTTATTTTTTGATTTTTCATCGGTGTTCGGAACTCACATTGAAGCTTCGACTAATCTAGATGGCGCTCTGCAAGATATTCGGAAGTGACGCTTCCAACAGAATTTTCTTTGTATTCAGAACTCGAACCCAAACCTCTAATTAAGAATGGTGCAGTCCCATCACCACACCACAATCCATATTAATTTTATTACTCATTTATTGTTGTGCGTTCTCTTCTTCATTATTTTCCACATATGTCTCCCACTATTTACTTTACATAGTTTAATATTTGCCCAAATAGAGTCTCGCTGAGGAAATTAAATACCAATGGCAGAAGCTGTAAATTCAACCATTTTCAAGGTGTGTTTTTGTTAAAAGGACTTTTGTCTCCTTCACACTTTCCTCGTCATCCTTGTTATCACCATTCTCCGTCTCTCCTAAAGATCAAACAAAACACTCTGTATCTGAATTTGATCATGAAATTCGAAGGAGAAATCCATCACGATTCAACTTAGGAGTTCAAATTTTGCTAGTAAATGAAGAAATTTGGATATTTATTTTATTGTGGATAGTGATTTTTGTTGTAAAATTAGCGTGATTTTGAAGGATTAGGTTAACGATTTCATGGCGTTTATATAGTAGATAGGAGTATCATGATGGCGGAGAATCCACGGCCATTGCAGGCGCGTCCGTATGAGGATCACGCGCCGCTGCCGTCGATACGGATGGTGGAGGAGGAAGAGGAGGAGGAGGACGATGATGACGGCGCATATGAGGATGATGGAGGAGAAGAGACTATGGATGAGGCTGAGGATGTAAGCATGAAGGTATTGAATCACCATCAATATGGAGGACAGAGCCAACAGTTGTACGGAGGCGGAGGTGGAGTTGTGGAAGTTTCTAGAACAAGTGAGCTTACTCTTGCTTTTGAAGGTGAAGTCTATGTTTTTCCTGCAGTCACTCCTGATAAGGTAGTTTCTATTTTTAGATAGATACTCCTATTTAGTTGCTTTTTTCTATTTTCTGTTTTTGGAACTTCCCATCAAATCATAGATTAGGTGCTTTACCTATTTTATTGTGCTTTTAGTTTAAATGCAGTTGTTATTTAAATATTATCGTATCTTATTGTTAAATCATTGTTACCTAACGACGGAAAGTTTCATTTTAAGTAACAACCGACCTCGTACCATATATTCTTGTAGGTTTGTCCTTTAAATTGTTGATGTGTTGTGACATTATGTAACAACGGAAAATAATACAATCTATTCAAACGTTGTATTAATCAAAGTAATACAGTACAATATAATACGATGGATTATGAAATAATAGGTAACAACTATCCAAAGTTCCAAACAAAGTGTTTCGTTTCACCAGTAGATACAATACAATGTTGTGTGCAAATGTAGTGAATTTTGAGTACACTCTTAGCTACTGACATGATGGTAACTCTGCATATACCCTTCGGGGTGGCCCAATGGTTTGGGCTTGGGACTTCCATGTTGGAGGTCTCAAGTTCGAAACCCCTTGCCAGCGAAAGCAAGGGGTTTGCCTTCTGGGTTGAGCTTGTCGCACCGGGCTTGCCTAGTGCGGGTTACCTATCCTATGTGGTTTGCAAGCTATTGCATAGGAGAGGAGGTTTTACCTTGTGCGCACCCAAAGGGTGGCGGCTGCGGGTTTCCCTTGTCAAAAAAAAAAATGATAGTAACTCTACATATTTTGTGCTCAGCGAATTTTGTGTTGTTGTAGTACTGCTATTTATTGATTAGTTGAAGTATCGGACATTGTTGAAGCGGGATTAAAGAATGATTTGGGACAAATTTTTAATCTGTATGTCTTATTTATTATTTTTCAAATGATTTTGGTGACTGACTAACTTGGACGTACCATGACTAACCCACCAATTAGCCTACTACAGCACATGAGTGCAACTTTTGCTCAAGTGTTGTAGCTGGGAGTCAAACCTTGGATCTTGCATGCCTCAACATCAGCCACCCTCTTCAGGACATATTTATGTCTTATTTCCTTTAAGAACATATTTTGTCTTTAATTCTCTACTTTAGTTTTCTACATATTTTTCTTGCATATCAAGGGCTTCTTGATGAGGCATCTGAGTTAATTGTTACTTGGTTGTTTTTTGCTCTTTCAATTCTGATTTTCTGCCGCAAGAGTGTTTTTTGTTCGATCCATCTCTTAAAAACGGCCTACTAGTGAAAAAAATTCATTTCTATCGTAATTCTAATGGAATTTGTGATTCTTTAAGTTTTCCATCCCCCTTATAGTCCGTTGGCCCTTGCCAGTCCAACTATGGAATGACATAATTTATAGAAATGGTGTCTGGCTAACTCTGCACTCTACATCCTAGAATTAATTTGGATATAGTAACTTGGCTGAGAATTTCCTTCTCTGTGCCCGTTTACTAGATATTACTCCAAAAGAAAATTCTTGAGAATATAGCTGGGAATTTTATGTGTCATTGCACCTTCTTTCCTGCTATATAAAGTTAGAAGCAGCTGCTTCCTGTGATTCACCTCTACTCAGCTTCTCAGATTCTGAAGAAATCAGAAATAGCTGAGAAATATTGGGGTTTCACTTTTATAATGGTCCTTCTCATCCAGGAGGCAT